TGATTCCTGCAGAATGGTACTCAGAAGAACAGAAGATCTACTTTTCCACCCTACCTGCACAACGTTTGGACCTATTAGGCTTATCCCAGCCCTCAGAACACCCTAGCACTACATCTGTACGTCTTAGTTCCATGCTTACCAAGCCTCAGAATTCCAGCAGAGCACGAAGCTGGCTTAGCCCCAGTGTCTCTCCACCACCTCTCTCCCCTGGCCCTTGATACCTTTCCCCTGTGGAATCCCACTTTAGTAGATATATTTGGGGTAGAATTTGGGTTTTGAAAAAGCACTTTTTTTAGTTTTTCAAAACAAGGTTTTTCTGTGTGGCTATGGCTGTCCTGGAACTCACTCTGTAGACCAGGCTAGCCTCTAATTCGGTGATCTGCCTGCTTCTGCCCTCTGAGTGTTGGGATGAAAGATGTGTGAAAGAAACACATTTATTTTGACTATTTCCCAAAGCTCGTCAAAGAGAGTCAAGACTCAATTTACATTGGTCAAGACAAATGCATTCAACACAGACTCAAAATCAGCAGCTGCCTTCACATATTGGACTCATGCCTGTTATATTTTTGTGTAGTACTGCAAGATACTATTTGGAGGTGTGGTTCTCAATCTTCCTAATGCAGTTCCTTATGTTGTGGTAACCCCCAACAATAAAATCACTTTCATTGTTATTGAAATAAGTGATTTTGTTTTGAATCATAATGTAAATGTTTTCCCAATGGTCTTAGGCTACCCCTGTTTTCCCAATCATCTTAGGCTACCCCTGTGAAGTCTCCTCCGCTCCTAATGGGGTTTTGACCCACAGGCAGAGAATTGCTGATTTAGAGGATCCTAGGTGTATACACCCTTTAAATGGTACCCACCACATAGGGCTTAGCCAAGTAATTATTTACATAAACGACTTTGAAACTGTAGGATCTATAGTAGTGATGTTACTACTAAAGGCTTAAAGAATCTTACCATCAAGCCTGCCATCCATACTCATGGAAGGAGAGAACTGATTCCTGGAAGCTGTACTCTGACCCCATATACACTGATGTTCCCCTCTCCGCATGAATATGTGATTTAAGAGGAAGAAAAGAGAAATGGTCAAGGGCTGGAGAGTTCGCTCATTGGTAAGAGCACTGGTAAGAGCTCTTCCAGAGGTCCTGAGTCCAATTCCCAGAAACCATACGGTGGTTCACAACCATCTGTAATGATATCTGGTGCCCTCTTCTGCAGGCAGAACACTGCATACATAATAATAAATAATAAATAAAATCCTAAAAATAAAATTAAAAATTAATGGTCAGGCCTATCAGTTCTTTACTCCCAGAACTCTGAGATGAGTGCAAGATTAAAGCCAACCTAGGCTGCAAGGCAAGACTGCATTTGTGTGTAGGCCAGAAGCATGTCTTAGTCTTCTTGAGGCTAGAATTTAGAAGCAGTTGGGAGCCATGTGCTCTGTGTTGAGACAATGCCCCTGAACTTGATGCTTATTTGAGGTTTGCTAACCAGCAATCTACCTGTCTCCCCTGCATTTAGACAACAAACACATAGCTTTGGTCATGGCATTTTTAGGTGGTTTTTGGGGACTAGGCTCAGACCCATGTGCTTGCACTGTGTTCTGTTCACAGTGTGTTCTACCCTTGGTCACAAATGAGTTTATTAACCCTGTAGCCACCAAGGGTACTGAACAAGAGCCAAATAATAAGATCATCAAATCAGCTGTTCAGGAAACCTTAGCCATCCTGGAGTTCTGGGCAGTGCAGAGTGGAGTCCTCTCTGCACAGCCGATACTTTCTTTTGCCTTCACTGATTCATTGACCCCGGGATGCTTTCGACCTGCCCTCTGCCATTTTTTCTGGGAAAGGGAAAATGAGGCAGGCAACCCTTATGCAGGACAGCATGTCTCTCAGAGAGAACCACTCTCTGTGCGATGCCCTTAGCTCAACACCCCTCTTGGGAGGTCAGGCTGAACACTCTACCTTGTGCAGTGAACCTGAGTTCCAGGTGTGCAAGAGCCGTCCAGTCGGTGGCCTATTGCTTGAGCATAAATATCAGTGGAAGCCCCTTGTTCTAGGGCGACCAGAGCCTGTGCAATCATCACCTTATCTCTTTTGTTTTGGGTTTTGAGCTTACAGACCAGTCAGAGAAGTAACACCAATCCACAGCAAATGACTGCACCAAATAATTCCACCCCCACCCATTCCTTGAAGTATGAGACAGCAGACAGTCCCTCTGTGAAGGACAGATCAAGGCAGGTAGAGTTGATCTGGACAATGGCGGCTCTCAACTCGCGAAGATATCACCGGCATCGACAACAGAAAGGTCGACACGATCAGCATGAGAGTGATCCCCGCCATCCTTCCGTTCCAAGATTTTTCTTGTTAGCCGTTCAGGGACCCAGAAAGGATATTCTTCATTCTGTGGAAAAATACAAACAGTTCCCCTGGATCTTATTAAAATAGGATCCGGGCCTCTCCATTCATTAGTCAACACATCTTTCCATTTTACAAGTTCCTTTGGCCGCCATGGCTGCGAACAGTGTCGATCCGCTGCGGTCTGATCATGGTCATCCAAATTTAAAAAATTTATAGTGAACAAAGCAGTGGCAATGGTCACTCTTGGTGTCGGGGGCAACTCCTTCATTATTCCTCTTTTTTGTTTAATTGGATAAGACTTAAGTGTGCGATGTGCTCGCTCAACAATGCCTTGTCCCTGAGGATTATAGGGCAGGCCTGTATTGTGTGTAACTTGCATTTGCAAACAAAATTGCTTAAACTTTTGAGAGGAATAGGCAGGCCCATTATCAGTTTTTAAAAATGTGGGCTTGCCCCATGCACTCCATGCCTCAAGGCAATGTTGAATGACATGAGAAGCCTTTTCTCCTGTGAGAGGTGTGGCATGAAGAATGCCAGAGCCTGTGTCAATTGACACATGCACATATTGAAGTCTTCCAAAAGCAGTGATATGAGTAACATCCATTTGCCATACCTGTAAAGGCAAAATTCCTCTGGGATTTATCCCAGTGTGTCTAATAGGGAGAAACTGGCAGCAATTGTGACACTGGGTCACAATGTCACGAGCTTCCTTTCTAGTGAGAGAAAAGCGCCTACACAGGGTTTCAGCTGTAACATGAAAGTTATTATGAAAGAGTTTTGCAGCTTGTAATGGGGAGGCAAGGGCCACCACAGCTAGTCGTGTAGTGCAATCAGCCAAATCATTGCCCGAACTCATAGGACCTGGGATGCCTGAATGTGCTCTAATGTGTGTAATAAAAAATGGAGCTCTTCTGTTTAATAAACATTCTTGCAGTTTGTGGAAAAGAAATGCCACTGTGCTGGTAGTTCTTATAATTCCAGCTGTCTCAAGTAATTTGACAGCATTGACCACATAGGCAGAGTCGGAAACGATGTTGAGGGGGCAATGAAATTTTTGAAAAACTTCTAATACTACCATGCATTCCACCACCTGGAGTGAGGTGGCAGGGAAATTTTTTGAAAACACTTAGGAACACATAACATAAGCTCCCATGCCATTTTTTTTAAATATTTATTTTATTTCTTATATATACAATATTCTGTCTGTGTGTATGCCTGCAGGGCAGAAGAGGGCACCAGACCCCATTACAGATGGCTGTGAGCCACCATGTGGTTGCTGGGAATTGAACTCAGGACCTTTGGAAGAGCAGGCAATGCTCTTAACCTCTGAGCCATCTCTCCAGCCCTCCCATGCCATTTTTGGAGCCATCTGTGTATACCACCATTCCGTCTTTTAGCGGGATGGAAGATGTTACCCGGGGAAACACAATGGGATGACATGCAGCAAACTGTAGCAAAGAGTGTTTGGGGTAGTGATTATCGATTTTCCCTGAAAAGGTGGTGACCAAAATGGCCCAGTCATCAGAAGTGGTGGCTAAGGTTTGTATCTGAAGGGAAGTATAGGGAACAATCATAACCATTGGATGTTTACCAAAATGACTAACAGATGTTTTCAGTCCTTTAAGGGCAATCTGAGCTATAGCTGCTGGATACCAGTCAATAATTTTTTGAGGGGAAGCATGTGGATGAATCCACAGCAACAGTCCATTTTGCCATAACACAGCAGTGGACAATTTCCTTGTTTTAAACACACAAAGAGAAAATGGTTGGGTCACATCAATACGGCACAATTGTGCCTCCTCAATGGATTTTTCCACTAGTGTTAAGGCTCCCTCTGCCGCTGGTGTCAATGCCCGAGGGGAAGTAATATGAACATCCCCCTCCAAGATGTCAAACAGGGGTTTTAAATCAGCGGAGGAAATCTTTAAAAAAGGTCGTAGCCAATTAATGTCTCCTAATAATTTTTGAAAATCATTTAATGTTCGTAAATCTTTTTTATAAATTTTTAATTTTTGTGGGAGGATCTTATCTGGAAGAACAATGGAGCCTAAAAATTGGCCAGTATCAGCAATATGAATCTTTTCAGCAGCTATCTGGAGGCCCCAAAGCTGTAAGTTTTTAAGTAGTAATGGATAGGCCTTTTCGAGGACCTTTAAATCCTCATGACACATAAGCACATCGTCCATATAATGGACCATAAGCAACTGTGGAAAACGCTCTCGTAGTGGTCTTAGAGCCTCCTGTACATACAATTGGCACATAGTAGGACTGTTGGTCATACCCTGGGGTAAAACTTTCCTTTGAAATCGTTTATCAGGCTCCATGTGATTAACTGAAGGGATAGTAAATGCAAAGCGAGGTCTATCAGCAGGGTACAATGGAATAGAAAAGAAACAATCTTTAATATCTATTATTATTAGGCTCCAATTCTTGGGCAGGGCAGAAAGTACGGGGAGCCCCCGTTGCACTGCTCCGAGAGGATGCATTTGCTCATTGATAGCTCTTAAATCGTGTAGCAAACGCCATTTTCCTGACTTCTTTTTAATGACAAAAATGGGAGTATTCCAAGGGGAGGTTGATGGTTCTATATATCCTAAAGCTAATTGTTCTGTAATAAGCTTGGTCACCGCTTCCAATTTTTCAGAGGTCAGTGGCCACTGGGGAACCCACACTGGAGTCTCTGTTTTCCATGGTATAGGTCGTGCTGCCCCAGTGGCGCCTAGGAAAAATCCAGGCCGGGTCTTTCTTGGTTAGGGTTGGGCGCTACCGGCTCTATCTGTCCTTGTCCTAGGCGACCCAGCCCTTTTCCTGCTTCGTACTCCATCTTTCTCATTATATCAGTAGCTTGTGGTGAATATTCATTAGACAATGTTAATCCAATGTCTTGCATAACGTCCCTTCCCCATAGGTTAACCGGCAGGGGGAGCACATACGGGGTAAACCGTCCTTGTTGTCCCTCCATGGTTCTCCAGATAAGGACCGAGGAGCTAATGGTTGGGTGAGCATTATATCCTAAACCTTGTAGTGAATGTGATGCCTCAGTGATTGGCCAAGATTTTGGCCACCAGTGGGAGGAAATTATGCTCTTGTCCGCTCCAGTGTCCAGAATCCCTTCAAAGTGCTTGCCATTAACCCAGAGGGATAGTTTCGGTCGGTCCTGAAGACTGACAACCAAATAGGCCGAGTCCTGACCTGAGGATCCCATCTGTCTATCTCCTGGTTTTTGATGGGCTTCACCCGGAAGGAGTAGTAGCTGAGCTATTCTGTCTCCTTTGCTAATAGAAAAGACTCCGTTTGGACTGGAGCACAATGCTTGAATTTCAGAAGTATGTTGGTTATTAATAATACCAGTGTGGACAATAAGACCCTGTAAGGTAAGCGATCCTCGCCCCAGGATAAGGCCCACACTTCCTTGGGGTAAAAACCCAGGCACCCGAACAGGGATGAGCTGTACTCCCATTTGGGGCATTAGTATGAAGTCGGAGGAGGCACACAAGTCCATTCATGCTCCATCCCTAAAGAGACCTCTTTGGTCCTTTTGATGAACCTGTTCCCATATTTTTGTGGGCCCTGGAACCAGGGGCCCACTGCCCCGTTTTTTGATTCCTCAGTTGTAGGCATAAGTCCCGCCCCTTAGGGGGCGTGTTCGCCTCGGGCTAATGTCTGCCTATAAATTTGGCGAGCGTGCTCCGAGCTGTCTCTTCTGCTTTCCTGGTCTCCACGGGAACGGTGGTTCTGTAAGTCTATTTCTACATTAAAACTATATATATTCTTACAATCTGTCTGCATTCGTTTACGCCGCTACATTTTGGCACCCAACGTGGGGCTATTTTGCCCCCGACTCAAGCGGGTAGCCCGCTAGCTAACAGAGCACCCTCCCGGGTGCTGTTTTTCAGTTCGTGACTCCGGCCCCAGTGCCGAGTCCGAGACATACTCGGCCACACAGGCCCATTCTGCCTGCCTTGGCTAAGTTTTGCAGCGGAACCCCACTGCCTGAATTAGCAGAAGCTCAAGTACCTGCGGTTTTGCAACAAAAGCTGACTTGGCCAGGCAGTGGTGGCGCACGCTTTTGATACCAGCACTTGGGAGGCAAGGGCAGGCAGATCTCTGTGAGTTTGAGGCGGGCCAGGCAGTGGTAGCGCACGCCTTTAATCCCAGCACTTGGGAGGCAGAGACAGGCGGATCTCTGTGAGTTCGAGGCCAGCCTGGTCTACAAGAGCTAGTTCTAGGACAGGCTCCAAAAACACAGAAACCACCACTGGCACGAACCAATCATTGCAGGCAAAAAATTTTTCTTTTATAAATAAAATGTCTGAACACATTAGTATTCAAGAATTTAACAGTTTTTTTAATTGTACCATGTGGGAGATTTTACAAGAGGTGTCTATCACCCCACATCTATGGATCCTTCTGGGATTCGTAGTTTTCATTGGCACCAAATGGTTTGATAATAGAAATATGATAAAGTCTTTACGAGACGAATCCAGGATTCTTAAGGCAGAGATTGAACGCTTAAAAACAATTGAGAATGATAACAATCTTCTCAAGAATCAGTTTGAAGTTCTCCAGGCTGATAACAATCTTCTCAAGAATCAGTTTGAAGTTCTCCAGGCTGATGTTAAGGAGAAATTCATTACTATGGAAGAGGGAACAGCTGATCTGGATCATAAGGTTCAGTCCCTTTCTGTAGGAACTGAAACATTAGTGGCTGATATTAAGGAGAAATTCATTACTATGGAAGAGGGAACAGCTGATCTGGACCATAAGATTCAGTTCCTTTCTGTAGGAAACGGAACATTAACTGAGAGAATCAAAACTGCTGAATGTGACAATCGGATTTTGTCTAAAGCTTATGACAGATTGACGGAAAGATTGTCAATACAAGAAGGCACCGTTTATGCCATAAAAATTATGTCCAAAGATGAGATGTTATCTCTAACGGACAAACTTCATACTTTAGAATCCTCAATGAAGGCTTTGGAACATAATTCTGGACAGGAGATTCAGACATTGCAGAAGGCAATGGTGACTAGAATTGAAAAGATTGAGGAATTTCTAAATTCTGATGAAGAAGAGCAAAAGGTAGAAAGGCAAATTTTAACTACATCTGTGGGTAAGTCTCTCTGGGACAATTTCCACAAAGCTCTACCTACAGCTCTACCTGCCTTCCCAGTAATAACAACAGAGAAGGTGATTGGTTCCAAAAACCCTAGGGTCATCAAGGAGGATACATGGGAGCCTGTCCGTATGAATGATCTCAAGGAAATAAAACAGGCTGTCATGACTTTTGGGATGCAAGCCTCTTTTGTTAAAGAGATGCTAAGATCTTGGGCCACGACAAGCAGAGCAACCCCCTTGGACTGGCTCCAGCTGAGCTCTGCGGTACTTGAGAGTGGACCGCAATTGAAATGGAAATGCTTATTCAGGCAAGAGGCTAGACTCTTAGAACAGCAGGAAAAAGTGAAGGGAATTGACATTTCCCTAGATCAAATTCTAGGTGAAGGGCTCTTTTCCGATCCTCAGGAACAAGCTAATTTGGATGAAAACACACTCTCCATGTGTACTACAGCAGCCTTAAGGGCTTGGGACAGGGTACAAGACCCAGGACAGAGAATGGAATCATTTGTCAGAGTTAAACAGGGTCAGAGAGAACCCTTTAGTGACTTTTTACAAAGATTAACTAAGGCTGTACAAATAGGGATATCTGACCCAGAAGCAAGACGTATAATGATTGAGTCTTTGGCTTATGAAAATGCAAATGTGGAATGCAAAAGGATTTTGGGTCCTTTAAAGCTCAGATCAGCGCCCTTGGAAGAATGGGTCTTGCATACACTCAATGTTGATACATTTGATTATGGCACTGAAGCATGGGTAGAAGAAGCAATTTCCAACGGTAAAAGGAGACACCAGAATACCAAATGTTTTAATTGTGGCAAAATGGGTCATATGAAAAGGAATTGTAGACAACAGATTTTCAGAAATAATAATAATAATAATAATAATGCATCTTTCAGAAATAATAATAATATTGCGTCTTCTAGAAATAACAGAAATAGGAGGACTCAGCCTTCAGATTTATGTAGAAGATGTGGAAAGGGCAGACATTGGATGAATGAATGCAGGTCTACAAGAGATAGACAAGGCAACCTGATACAGCCGGGAAACGTGAGAGGGGGGCCTCACAGGCCCCCATGGCAAACATGGTTCAGTCATTTCCAGTTTCTGCAGAGAACGTGCCTCATCAGGACAATTAGGAAGCCCCATGCCTACTGTTACAAGCAATAATGATCAGAAAGATAAGTTACGTGTGTTTTGGCAAACTTCTATAAATGATCAAAGACCTAAACTGAGAGTGTGTGTAAATGGCATTTTTATTACTGGCCTGCTGGACACAGGTGCTGATGTAAGTATCATTACCCCAGAATCTTGGCATCCGTATTGGCCTCTTCAGAATGTAAATGTTCAGCTCCTGGGAATTGGAACCCTATCTCGAGTAAGGCAGAGCACGAGATGGGTTGAATGTATAGCGCCAGAGGGACAAATAGAAAAATTAAAGCCATATGTAGCCAATATCGCAATGAATTTATGGGGTCGTGACCTACTACAACAATGGAATACCGAAATTAACATTCCTGCTAAATCTAGAGCCTATATTTCTGAGAATAATATTAAAAGATATTACAAACGGAGAAAACAGGCCATTCGGGCTGTACAAGAACAAGCAATTGATGTCCCTTCAGAGATACCAACAGCCTTGCCTCTAAAATGGTTGACTGAGAAACCAATATGGACAAAGCAATGGCCTTTATCTGAGGAAAAGTTACAGGCTTTAGAACAGCTGGTACAAGAACAATTAGATGCTGGACATATAGAAGAATCTACCAGCCCTTGGAATTCTTCTGTATTTGTGGTTAAGAAAAAATCAGGTAAATGGAGAATGGTGACAGATCTCAGGGCCATCAACAAGGTTATTCAACCTATGGGCCCTCTGCAATCTGGAATTCCTTTGCCCTCTTTATTACCAAAAGGATGGCCTCTCATAGTATTGATTTAAAGGATTGTTTTTTCACTATACCTTTGCAAAAAGAAGATAGAGAAAAATTTGCCTTCACACTGCCTACCTATAACAATTCTCAACCTTCGAGGAGGTACCACTGGACCGTTCTCCCCCAGGGTATGTTAAATAGCCCCTCCCTGTGCCAATATTTTGTGAACCAACCATTGCAAATAATACGCAAGAAATTTCCCAAATCTATAGTATACCATTACATGGACGACATCTTGTTATCCGATTCAAACATGGATACCTTGAACAGATTGTTTGAAGAAATAAAGATACTTTTACCTAAATGGGGATTGCAAATTGCTCCTGAAAAGATTCAGAAGGGAGATTCTGTTAATTATTTAGGTTATAGAATAGGTTTGCAAAAAATTAAGACACAGAAGACACAAATTCGGAGGGATCGCCTACGGACTCTTAATGACTTTCAAAGACTGTTAGGAGACATTTCCAGTCTACGACCAGCTATTGGAATAACACCTGATCTAATAATTCATTTGAACAAAGCCTTGGATGGTGATAAAGATTTAAACAGTCCCAGAGAATTAACAGCTGAAGCAGAAAAGGAACTGACAATGATTGAGGAGAAATTACAACAGGCACATGTGGACAGAGTGAATCCAGAGCTTGATTGTATTCTCGTCATATTACCGTCAAAAATTTCTCCTACAGGAATTTTAATGCAGAGAGATGATATTATCTTGGAATGGATCTTTTTACCACATAAACCAAGTAAGAAACTGAAAACTTATGTGGAAAAAGTCTCTGAGTTAATTATAAAAGGCAAGCTGAGACTTCGTCAACTGGCAGGCATAGACCCAGCAGAAATTATAGTGCCTTTCACTGCTGATGAACTAAAGAAATTATGGGAAGATAATGAACCATGGCAAAGAGCTTGTGCTAATTTTTGGGGGGACATTAATAACAACTATCCAAAAAGCAAGCGGCTTAACTTCATAAAGAGAACTTCTTGGATCCTTCCTCGAATCATCCGTGATGCTCCAATAACTGGAGCCCGTACATTCTATACTGATGCCAATAAATCAGGGAAGGCAGGTTACAAATCAGAAGACTTGGGTAAGGTGGAACAAAGTCCTTATGATTCTGTCCAGAAGGCAGAATTATATGCCATTCTTATGGTACTAAGAGATTTTAAAGAACCTATTAATATAGTTACTGATTCACAATACACAGAAAGAGTTATTTTACATATTGAAACTGCTGAATTTATACCTGATGATACAGAACTAACTTCATTGTTTATCCAGGTTCAAGATTTGATCAGGAACAGGCTTTGCCCTATGTACATAACAAACATCCGATCCCATACGGGTCTGCCAGATCCTCTAGCACAAGGTAATGCAGAAATTGATCAATTATTGATTGGTAGTGTGCTACAAGCCTCTGAA